ACTTTAGTCCCTCAGGCTTGTCCATGTGTACCAGCTAATCTATTCAGGTGGGCCCATCTCAGGGTCTATATAAGTGTTGGTGTTTTGGCACACAGGCTGCCCATGTGTTGTGACTAAGTGTGACTACACTATGTGACTAGACTGTGTGTCTAGGATGCTCCTAATGTAGAGAGGAGCAGAGAAGAATAAATAAAGCAAAGATTATACATTTCTCTTGAGCCTAGAAGCCAAGGGAGTAGACTATGGTCAGTGTACAGAACAATAGATGAAGACTTAATTAATGAGGACCAGTGGATTCTTATTAGAGGCTCAAGAAAAATGTGAAGTTAGATAGTGGATAAGCCCATAGGAAAGTCTCAGCCACTACTAAAACTAGACAGTGAAGGAAATTTGCTAGGAACTGCTGATCCCAGAAATCTTTTTTTTTGGCTGCCTAAGTACAGGGGGGTTATATACTCTACAAGGGTACAGTTTATGGAAACATAGTACAAAGCTTGCTAAGTATTTTGTAAGCAACCTTTAAGTGGGATTTAAGGGTTTTTAAGTGACTGATAAGCATAGAAAGTGATCAATAAGCATAGAAAAGTAATTGGTAATCATGAGAAAGGAGATTGACAAGCATGGTAAAGGAATATTAATGAAGAAAGGTTGGCATGCATAGATGATATCAAATATACACATGACAGTATACAGCAAATATATTCATTGTCTGGGTAGGTTTCTTCATGTAAACAAATGGAAATGATGTACAAAAACCTAATACTATTGCTATTGTAGTACTCTGCAGACATGTAAACCTACATATTCATATTTCACTTCAAGACTTGACATAGCATTCATGCCATTTATTCCCATGAACCATCTGACTCAAATCCAGCTCTATACAACTTCCTCTGGGGATAACTGCTGTGTTCCACATTGAATAAAATGGTACTCTGAACATTGGGGGTATCCACAGAAGTAGTCTTCTCTTTGGTCCTCTGATCCAGCCATCTGAGTGAAGCTTGACTGGTTCACTCCTTACATCCTCCTCCTCCTGTAGGACACCATCAAGAAGTTGGCCACTTCCCTGCAATGCATGTGAAGAAGAAGAAGAAGAAAAACAGATGGAATATGCTGTTGTGACTGGAAGTTCTTTGAACAAAGCAGAATACATGACAGATGGATAATACTCACCAGTTTCATTGTCTGTAGGCAACTTCAAATTGATCATATTCTTGTAGCCTTGAGCATCCCAGACCCTCAAAGTGTTGTCATAAGATCCAGAGACAATTCTCCTACCATCCAAGGAGAATGCAACTGACTGGGCCCAGTGATCATGCCCCTGAAGAGGGCTACCAATCTGCACACCTCTCCCAACATCCCAAATCCTCACAGTTTTGTCATATGAACCAGAAACAATTGTCATTCTATCAGGGGAGAATGTAACTGATTGAACCCAATCAGCGTGCCCTTGAAATGAGTTTCCAATCTGCACCCCTCTTTTGGCATCCCAGACCCTGATAGTCATGTCATCTGAACCAGAGACAATTCTCCTGCCATTATAGGAGAATGCAGCTGAGCTGACTGTAGAAGTATGCCCACAAATCAGGGTAACATGCAGCCCACCCTTCTTAACATCCCAGACTCTCACAGTATGATCATCTGAGGCAGAAACAATTTTCCTGCCATCATGGGAGAATGCAACTGCATTGACTGATGCTGTATGCCCTAGAAGAGGGCTACCAATCTGCACACCCCTTTCAACATCCCAAACCCTCACTGTATTGTCATATGAGCCTGAGACAACTCTCTTGCTGTCAGGGGAGAATGCAACTGATTGGACCCAGTCAGTGTGACCCTGGAGGGGACCACCAATCTGCATGCCTTTCTCAACATCCCACACTCTCACTGTTTTGTCATCAGAACCAGAGGCAACCCTCCCACCATCAGGGGAGAATGCAACTGACTGGACCCAAGACATATGCCCCTGAAGAGGGCCACCCATCTGCTCCCCTGTCCCAGCATTCCAGATTCTCACAATTTTGTCATCTGAGCCTGAGACAATTGTCTTGCCATCAGGAGAGAATGCAACTGAATTAACCAAAGAAGTGTGTCCCTGTAAAGCTTGCTTGGCAGCTGCCCACTCTTTGGGCTGCCCTTTGTCAACTTTAGCAAGCCCAGAAAATTTTGGCATGAGTTTTGCTGACAGCATTGTGTTTGAGGGAACAAATGGCAGTGCTGAAATGTAAAGATGTGATGAACTGTGTGCAATCACACTGCCAAAATTTTGGATGAATGCAATCCCATCTTGTACCAATGTTAATATGTCCTCAACATCATTTTGACCCTTCAATTTAATTTTAGATGAGATCAAACATAACAATGGAGAACCTACCTGTAGCCATTCAGTTGTGCAAAAAAGTGCATCTGCAGCTTGCCCAACTTCACCAAGAAGACTCATGATCTCAAGCCAGAAGAGGATTTTTTCGCTCCCCACAATGGCCACCACCAGTCCTGCAAGTATTGGGTCAAAAGCAGTCTTCTGTAGGTGTTGGGCCCAGAATCGGCATGAGTAGGATAGATGGAGTGGAATGTTCTTGTTGATCCTCTCTGCCAAATCAGGAATCTCTGAATTGCTGAGGTAGGAACTTTCCAGTCCACAGATGTTGAATTGGAGATGTTCAGAAAGAACCCGCAATAAGGCAAAGGTCAGGTCATATGAGTTGGAAATGTCAACAAAGTAGACTCCACTTTGTGACTGATCAGTGAGGAAGTCATAAAAGGATTCATGGTGGGGGTGGACAGGAGTCTTCGAGTTGCCATCATCTCCACCTAGCAGTGGGGCCATGAATCTCAGAACAATAGCAACATCATAGTGGTCCTCCTCCTTTCGGAACAGACTGCGCATTATATTCAAGGTGTTCATAGGCAGAGGCTCCACCATCATCAGAACTTGTTGCATCACTGAGTGGTATCGCTTGAGAGCTGACTTTGGTACAATGCTCTCCAGGATTGCGGTATAGGTGAGGTGCAGAAGTGCACTTCCTTCTCCAGACTGAATGGCGATCAGCATATCAAAGCGTTCCTTGGCAGTTTGACCAGGTACATCAAGCTTGAGGAACTCGCAAGCAGACGTGCCCATTCGAACAAACCACTTGACTTGTGAGCAATCCGGCCTCTTTCCATAGATCCAATATGCTTCAAATTGACATAGCCAAGTCTGTAGAAAATGAATTGACTGATGTCATGCTCAGTGGACAGAGAAATGTTGTCCAAGGACAACTTCATCACATGGGCAGAGCTGCCTAGCACATAGCTGATGTCTGGCAATGACCTGGATGTCACAAGGATGCGGACATTGGGGGGTAGATAGGCAGCTTCCGTCAGCGTGAGCAGAGATAATATATGCCTCCTCGACATCTCCTGCCCACTTTCGTCCAGAGCATCAATCACCAGCACAGCATTCCCAACTATCGCACCATTAATCTTGAACAATGGTCCCAAAATGAGATGTTGCCACTGCTGCATCACATCAGCTGTGGTCATCAGAAAGTGGTCCTTCTTGAAGGCATCTCCCAGCGCTCGCCGAAATACCACATCCTGCTCTGCCAGATCACGCGCAATCGTCGTCAAGATTTTTTGCTCGCGATGTTCACCCTGCTTATCACGTGCGAAGCAGAAGCAGGCCACTAGTCCCCCCGCCTCCAAAACCCACGATGAAACTGTATGAGCAATGGCCGATTTTCCACTTCCAGCCTGGCCACCAAGCCAGAAGATGCGGGGTTCATCAACGTCATGATTGGTGATCCAGCGCACGGTTCTCTGCAAAACTGCCGTCCTGGTGTTGTCCAAGCATTTCTTAGTCGTATCCAGGCCTGCGCCATGTGCATAAGCCATGCCTTCGAGGTTCGGATCTTCCAATGCACGATACATGTTGGACTGAATGTCCTGGACTGCAAAACCGGGGCATTGCTGCATTAAGTCATCCAAGGTCTCAATGTAGCGCCCGACAATGATCTGCGTTTCGGAAAGAACATCTTGTTGTTGTTCAGTCCCTGAGTAGCGTCGTGTCAAAATTTACATGCCAACAAGACATGATAGAACCTACAGAATTTCTTTGTTTCAGAGTAGTTTCTAACAAACCGTGCGGATTCACTTATAATCCGCGCAATCTTCGCGAGGACATTTCTCATGTCATTAATATTCTGCTTGACACCGTCTGCCAGTAGCAGTTTGTATACGAAAGTGATCTTCTCCAACAGAGTGGACAGCGCATCATCCGAAGTCGCTTGCTCAAGGATCAACTGGCAAGACGGCTAAGTCAGAAGAAGCACGTGTATAACGGAAAGCCGCACCTGAGAGGCATCCGTTAAAGTTCCCAGTATCAACTGGACAAAGGGGTGAATCTGTGCGCCGATACCAAGGGAACCAGCAGCACAGTTGAAGTCTTTGAGAGGTTGGAGATACGTATCGCTGCAGCTTTGAATGTCTATAAATGCAGAATTGCCCTGTGTGGAGTCGGCGACCGTTTGGCCAGCCAATACCATCAATGTCAGGCCATCCAATGAATGCGGAGCAGCATTGACTTGGTTGCAAGCTATCGATGCTCGAATCGGGGATGATGCTGCTTTGTTGATGGACCCTCGACTCTGTTGATTGAAGGTGAGCAACGTCATCCCAATAGTAGAACATCCCAAATCACGTACGTCCTGGGTTGGGGTTGTCTGAGGTCCCACCTGTTGCCGCTGAGCAGCGATACTCCTGTCAACAGTATCCACGGGGCCAATACCTCGGTTCAACTGACGAAAAAAGCGCCTCATTTTGGCGAAAGTCTCCTGGTCTTTCTTTGACTGCTCGCTGGACATCGAACTTTAGGATGAGTATTTCGCGCAGAGCTGACACACTCTAGTAAGTAGGACGACCAGCAAGGGTGGGAGGGAACTTGGCTTTCAACGCTACTCGATCACGTTTCTACCACGTGCGCAGCGAACACAGCTTGTATACTGGTAAATATAACGTTACATTGAGAGCATATCCACAGCTTGTTGGTTGCGCCCGGAGATTTCCCGCAAGTTGGTTGTTTTATCATTAACCATTTTCTTTTGAAGTGAAAGCGCTTTCTTTTCGTCCCCTAGACGCTCCACAATCGCCCATGCTGGAGTGTTGTCAAACTTCTCACGGCGGACCTTTCCTTGGAGTTTCAACTCATTTTCCAGTCGGTCCTGCAATATGGTGCGACGTTTCGAGCCGACCTGATCCCACATGGTTGATACCAGTCGCAATCGATCGATAGCTTCCTTCCCGCACCAATTCGTCAGCCGCGCAGACGGTGTAGTGACACCTGTAAGCCTGATAGATCTCTTGTATCTGCTCAGTACAGATTAACTTTAAGCGAGATCGAGTAGGCAAGTTGGCTCACAGTAATATCAATAGTTGTTCTATCGCTTTAAAATCGAACTCATCCAATGAAGGCGTATCTATGAAAACGAAGCGTTTTCCGTTATGGACGCTTGCGAAGGCGCCGGCAATTTTCGTGCAGGTCGCTTGCGAGTTTGCATCCGGTTCTGGTGGTATCCCAGTAAGTTTATTGATGAACTACATCTCATGTGAGTGACGATTCAACGTGAACAGTTCACTATCAACCTACGTTGCTCCTTCCGGAACCCGTGTTACCCAAGACGCTGTCAATGAGAGGGACGAATATGTCACGAGAGGGATCCGCTGATTGTACATACAGGACGACGCTATCGCTGGGTATGATATCTTCGACCAAAACCCGGAACCTGCTCTGTGACAATGTTAGTACATAATGAAATATCCCGGCAACTCAGAGCATACCTCTTTGGATGACGGACCCCTGATGTTAAGGTTGATATTGTCTCGGTAAGGGAGAAGGATTGGCTTGAACTCAATTGGTATTGTTTGATTCTCAGCCACCAAAGGCCGACCAAAATATCTAGAGCGGTTGGAACGGAATTGCTCGATAATGATGGTTACGGGGCCTGACTGGGCCCGGGCATCGCAGCATGCCAGGATCGCAGAGAGGAAATCTGAATCTCCAGAGTAGGATTCACGTTTCAGAGGGAGCCATATTTCAATGCCGTGATTAGTGACAGTGAATGTTTGAAATCTCTCTTCCGCAGATGCCAATTCTCGTAATTTCTTTGAAGAAGACTTTTCGAGGGCAACCATAAAGTCGCTAGGGGACATCCGGATTACGCTCGAGCAATCGCGGAAGTGGCTGGGGTCATTTGCCAGGAAGCTGTGGGCCGTCCCCGCGTTCCTTGACCATCCCCAGGCAAATATGCTTTGGTCATTGGTCATTCGTATAATTTCCAACTGTAGACGGAGGAACGCGTTCTTCCCCTCCCCATACAACAATGGCATATACACGCCAAACAGTCCCAATAACGAATATGCACGGTCCTCTTCTCTCGTCGTCCTCCGGTCAGCGGCCCAGGACATAATTTGTGCTACACTGGGATAGGACCAACTGAGGCCCTTCTCCAATGCATCAACCGAAATCCGCGTGATGACCTTCAGAGTACGAGCGCACTTTCGCTTTCGGGTAACGAACTCCCAGTTCCGATTAAAAAAATGAACGTCCTCCGGGGCTATGAGTTCCTGGAGTGTCCACCCACGCGAAAACCACTTCGGCCATCCATTAGACTCGGCAAACTTATCGTTGTCGGGGTCGGTGGGAAGAGCATTAGCATCGGTGTCATGGAGGTATGCATAGCAGCGGTCGGAATTCGCATACCACGCATACATAGAATTGATGGCCTCGGACAGCTCGGCACTGCTCCGTTTGTCAATGCAGCACGCATCCACCCAAAGCCAATGCAGACCGTTATGACAGGCTCACAGGCAACTGTTGCGAATCTTTTGGTACCCATAACGCTCTTGGATCTCACGTCTGGCGGCTACATCCATCTTCGTAAGGCTTTCCATCTCGGTATACTGCACCTCGTCTTTTGGTCTACCCCAACAATGAGACAGTATGGCGGCATATGCTGCCTCTGTGAGATCGGGACCATTGAATTCCACCAGAAGCTGTGTATCCGGCCCAGCTGTATCCGCGTCAAACTGGAGAAAGGCCTTGACGTCGATCAGGCGCATGACACATCAACCTGGCGGAATTCAGTACAGATCTCGCGCACAACCTACTAATAGTCGGCGTACGAGGCAAGGAACGAAATAACAAATGAGAAGGCTAAACGGTCTAGCAAGTAGATCGTATGATCAACGAGGGAAGGAGTAGAAAAGAGCCTGACACGAGAACACGCTGAGACCCGCAGGAACGCGGGAAACGTGGTACATACATACGTTATAGGAAAGTGCTCGAAACGACGTCACGGTGAAGAGCGGGGGACAGAAGACTTGAGACCGGCACTCTAGGAATCAGACGTGAGAACAGCCGAGTAAGGAGCAAGACCGGCGCTTACACTCAGACCATGTGTACTTAGCACAACGGCGGTAGCTCGTCAAATCCAGCGACTCATCGTCACTTGTACTCATCCCGCATTTGCGACGTAGTGCGCCGAGCAGGAGCCTAATACGTGCAGACTCAGAAATATTGGCTAGTCGCTTACTAAGCAAGACATATCTTGTCCTCCGCCAACACACATACAGACATCCACTACGATCATTCCAAGTCATGGTGCGTCTTTTTTGTTATTTCGGGACCCACACGAGTCACATTCTCTTTAGGCGCGAAATGAAGAAAAAGCTCAGTCGATGCTCTACCGATTCCGCGAGGCGCAAGCCGCCGAACTCGGTCTCGGTACGCGGGCAGACAGGCGGCCTAAAATGGCGAGTGCGTGCAAGAGCTTGCGAGAGTGCGAACGATGGCGGGGAGAAATTTTGAGGGAGATAAGCCGGAAGGTATCCAAAATACAAGATTGTATGTTGCGTGTCGCTGTCTTTTGAGTGCAGGTGACTGACCGACGGTATAGCCGGGTTGACGGATTACGAAGTGCGAGATCTGAACGACGAAATCAACAAGTTATTGAGGGAAAAGAGGCATTGGGAAAATCAAATTATTGCGCTGGGAGGCGCGAACTACAGGAGAAATGTTGCGATGCTAGATGACGATGGGAAGGAAGTACCGGGGACAAAAGGATACAAGTATGTCCATACCCTTCTCTCGCTCCATTTACTGCTGGAATTCTGACGTTATGAACACCAACAGATACTTTGGCCGTGCGAAAGACCTTCCCGGCGTCCGTGAACTCTTCCAAAGCAGGAAAAAGGAAGAGGAAGAAGAAAGTGCTGCGTTTACTTATTACAAGAAGTTCATGAACCAGGGACCGGCGTACTATGGCGACTTGGATGAGACACAAGGTGTAGATGGGGTATTGGCATATGAGCAGAAGGTTGAGGAGACAGGTGGGTGTCCTTTCCACGCTTGTCTTCTGGGCGTGTATAGATGTATTGACGACCGCCTATTGCACAGAATGGAAAGAAGCGTACAAACGCGTACGAGATACTTTGGGTCTCCCGCCCAATGAACCGATACCAGAAATGCCACGTAGCGCCTCTGCGTCGACACAAAACCAGCCGTTAACACTTTCACCACAGCCAAACCCCTCGTCCCCACAAGCAAAACGGAAAACGTCCGACGGTGCAGATACAGATGCAGGGGTAGACGCTGGTGACCTAGGTACGAAAGGTACGGAGGGAACGCAAGCCAAGAGATCCAAAACTGTCCCTTCAACGGTTTCCATTGCCTCCAATCCTACATCTACGTCTGATCCAGTGCAAGACACAAACAGAGCCCGCATGGCGCTACACGCTCAGCTGGCTGCTTCGTACATCCCGTTCCTCACCCCTGAAGCGCTGATGCCGCCGACGTTGCCTACAAGAGCAGAAATGGAAGAGGTGTTGCTGAAGTTGCGAAAGGAAGCGCTGGTACAGGAATTTTTCGGTGCAGACCCGGAGGGTGTAGCGTGAATGTGACGTACTTTCCTTCCCTCCGTTTTTGATGCTCCGGTTTCTTTCGTGAGAGCGTACTGTTCGTCGTTTTGTGAATGATATGTGTGCTGCGTGTACGTGTACGTCAGCGGTAAGTAATCTGCAGTTCTTGCTCACTTCGGCAGTTGCGGACTTTCGGGAGAACAGATGCCGGAGATCGTTCCTGAGGATTACAAGTGCGACTTTAGTAAAACACTCATGGATTATCGATCATCGAGTGACCAAGTCTCACGCGGTCCTGTGGATGGCAAGGGAAATACGGCACTCCCTGATCTTGGCCAACATATGTGGACAGATCGATGATGTATGGTAACATCACATGCAAATAGGCAGTGCAAGAAGGGACAGGTGAGAGAAGGATTTCCGAACTGACTTCTCGACGCAGGGCTCGCTGCGAAAAGTGAAAAGCTCAACAGGAAAAAAGAAGGACATGCTTTTGCTTCAAGAGATGGTTGATAAGAGAATCGACTTGTGGAAGATGTCCTCTGTCGGAGGGGTACTGCAGGGCAATGCATTGCTACCGAAGCCTGTGTAGCCCCTCAGCGCCTGAGACTTATGGCCATCCAAACGCAGGGAATTAGGCCTGTCACACGTCACCAAACCGGCATCAGTGCAGGGCCGGGACAAGAGCGACGCGTCTATCCGTGGTAGACGCCTCTGGAGTTCATGATGCGCTCGAGCTAAATATGTAAGTAAATGCCGGCTTTGTTCTGTTACCGTCCGTGGGGCCTGTTTTCTGACACGTTAAATATTGTGTATCCGGGCCCATTGTGATTTACTGCACCGTCCTCACATCGTCCTCTCCTACCTGGCGCTTCACTTCCTAAACCATCCAACCGCTGTGTTTTTCGTTTTGTTTCCTTATTTCGTACGCAGACTACTATGGCCTGTGTGTGCAATGTCTGTACTGATATATCGATAGGTCGACATACCATGCGCCTGATCGACGTAAAGGCCTTTCTCGAATTCCACGCAGGGAAAGCAAGACCAGATGCGCAGCTCCTGGTGGAGTTCAACGGCCCGGAGCTTGCAGAGACAGCATATGCTATATTATCTCATTGTTGGGGTAAACCAAAAGAAGAGGTGCATTATACGGAGATGGAAAAGCTTACAACGATAGGTGCCACTGCCAGATCCGAAATAAAAGGGCGAAGTGGGTACAGGAAAATTTACAACAGCTGCCGACAGGCCCTTCCTGACGGCCTGCATTGGCTATGGGTGGACACATGCTGCATCGACAAACGGAGCAGTGCTGAACTGTCGGAGGCCATCAATTCCATGTATGCATGGTATGCAAATTCTGACTGCTGCTATGCATACCTCCATGACACAGACGCCAAAACCCTCCCCACCAAACCCGACGATGATAAGTTTGCCGAGTTCAATGGATGGCCCAAATGGTTCTCCCGTGGGTGGACACTCCAGGAACTCATAGCCCCAGAAAACCTGTATTTCTTTAACCAGCGGTGGGAGTACATTTCCGGAAAGCGAGACTCTGCCCGTGCTCTGAGCGTCATCACGCGGATTTCGGAGGATATCTTCTTACATGGTCTCAGTTGGGCGAATCCCAGTGTGGCACAGATAATGTCTTGGGCTGCAGACCGAAGGTCGACGCGAGAGGAAGATAGGGCGTATTCGTTATTGGGCCTGTTTGGCGTGCATATGCCAATGTTGTATGGAGAGGGGAAGAGCGCGTTCCTCCGTCTGCAACTGGAAATTATACGAAAGGTCAACGACCAAAGCATATTTGCTTGGGGGTTGACGAGGGAGCTTGAATCGGCCAGTAGCTTCCTGGCAGATGACCCTAGCTTGTTTCGGGATTGTTCAAACATAAAGCGGATGACCTTCAGCAGCTTCATTGCCGCTCTCAGAAAATCCCTTAAAAGACAAGAACTAGACAAGTTGGCGCTTGCGGAAGGGCGGTTCCAAACATTCACCGTCACCAATCACGGTATTCAAATACGGTTACCCATGCAACTCCTCCACCATGGCCCTTACGATGGAATTTTCGAGTTCTCCTCTGTGATGCTGGCATGCTGCAAGGAGGGGGAAGACTCGGATCCTATAACCATCACAGTCGAGCGAACTGGCTCCAGATATTTCAGGTACTTTCGGCATCGCTCTGCAGCTAACAGGGATGAAAAAGCGCCAATCGAGTTTGAAGAAGTCTTTCTTCCTTATCAAGACAATAGTAGCCTTAGCATCAGGGGTCCGTTATCTAGACAGGTATGCTCCGATTTGGCACAGATACCCGTATTTGCTAACACTATGTGTAGGGCAGGCGGTCACGGATTGTGTCGGTTGAAGATATTGCACCCAGCGATATTGTCATTGTGTACGTATAATCACCATGTCCATCCCAAAACCTTGGCATGACTTGTCAATAGTGTTTTGGGTCCTGTGGGGTCCGGAAAGAGCACCGTGGGTCGATGACGAAATTTCGGCATTGAATCGTCACTAATGAACGATGCTAGATTATTAACAAACTTACCGGAATGCCGCCAGAGCGGAATGCGAATACTCTGAAGGCTTGTACGCAAACCATCAGCGCCTTTGCTCACGTCCTCGGGAAAAAACGATTTATCTTCGTAGACACGCCCGAGTTTAATCCATCCACGCTTAGAGACGTATCAATGTGGCTGGCCTTGATGTGAGTCAATTTGCCTACTCGGGTGTAATTAGCTCACGCCCATAGAGATATCGGAGGTCTGTCAAGCTTACAGGTGTGATCTACACTTGGTGCATAAGTGACAACGAAATGTCGAAGTGGGATATCCACGCCTTCCAGATTTTAGCTGACATATGTGGGAGAGATGCCATTGACCGGGTGCGGCTGGTAACCACCATGTGGGATGAGGTCACAGCCGAAGCTGGCACCACAAGAGAAAACGAACTGAAAAAAGTGGCTATGAAACCACTTCTCGATGGGGGGGCCCGCTACGAACGGTTGAACGGTACTCCAGATTCGGCATGGGCAGTTGTGAAGGACCTGGGGAACAAGAAAAAGGTGCTTTTGCTGCAAGAGGAGATGGTTGGGAAAGGAATTGACTTGTGGAAAACGTCTGCGCTGAAAGCTTGGATGGCTCATCCACCTAAGAAGTAAGATTACTACCAGAGAGACAGGGATTTTTTATTCGCATTGAAGAATAAGGGAACAATGATAAGAATCAGAGAACCCCAACCCATAAAACGACTCCGGAAGAAAGTGACGACAACAGCCGCACTATGGGTCCCTTTTCATTTTGTCCATCACTGCTACTGTCTGCATCGCATGTGCAAACAGCTAGACTGCCGTATGATGCGTTCTTCATAACAGCCAGGAGCCCTCGTTTCAAGCAGATGATAATAGCCTGGACAATGCAACAATCTTGGAACCAAATAATCCACCATAAGATGATTCTATCGGGGAAATGGGTACACTCTCAAAATGTTGCTCCAACGGAGGTATGGCAATACAGGAAATGGGGCACAAGAATAGACATATATTCGAGATGACATAATGTGAATGGGTACGAGAAGTGATTCAGCGAAAGAATCGAGGAAGGGCATACTGAACGGATGCAAGAGGTGATGTGGCAAAAGGGTAGAGAAACGATAACGCCGCATACTTACTGTAAGTGCAGGAATGCGCCGTCACTCCAACAATCCCTCGATGACTACCTCGTCCGGTATGTTTGCCACATTAGATCCCCTATAATTCAGTTTGCGCAAAATATCAATCTGTACATTCAATTCCTTCAGTTTCATAGGTAGACAGGTCTGCAGATCACATGCCACTTTCGAACGCTGAAAACCAAAAGCCTCAAATCGATCTATGTGGATGCTTTCGAGGCCTGCTAAGGCTGCATCATCTACTCCAGAGCCTATCGGATTGTTGGCTCCTATGCACTTAGACCCTCTTGCATATAACCATGTCCAATACCGTGCTGTCTCCTCGAAGCTGTGTTTATCTGCCTTGTAATGATACATAGCTTCGGTATCCAGGGAGTCACTTGATTCAGGGGAGGACAGCAATGCCTGCAACGATATCAAGACCGTTTTGAGGGTAAGTGCGGGAGACCAATCATGTTGCAGAATGTTAAGGCAGATGACACCCGACACCGGTGATATGTTAGGATGATACATCTTGGTGATGAACTTCACCTGCATCGGATACCAGGGGTAGAACTCTGGGTAGACAACATCCTGTGGCAAGTATCAATGGTGACACCCCGGTTTACGCACAATTCGGTCACGCACAGCCTCAAAGGTGCCATTCTCGTAGGGTGTGCCTTCGGGGCCAAGAAAGGATCCTTTGAGATGGAAGGGAGATGAATCGACGAGCTCGACCCTGAAATTGGAAGCTTCGTCCTCTTTACAGTCTAGGTGGGAACGATCAGTTTGCACCAACAGGTTGCCACTGCAGACAATATGTGTCCAGTACCTATAATTTCCATGTTGACTCTACGCAAGATGCGGTCCATCCTACTTGTTGGGAGGCTAGTAGAGGAAGCGCCGCCATTCCAAGAGTGGCATTGCCCTTTACTGTAATCTTACACAGTACACCTAATTCACGTAATGTAGCATCTCATCAGACCCCTAAACCTACAACCATTCCGCCACGTATGCTCGGATCTACGAATGAGAATGAGCAGAACCTTGACGACCTGGGATGGGGATAGGGAAAAACAGGAGTTGAAGGGAAATGTGCCACACTGAACCTGCAGATACTACATGTGGGGGAATGGATTGCGCGTCTGAAATCAGTGAGTGGTATGCATGGCGGGATTGACTGGGTTCCTGGTGGGAGGTGTCGTTCTGCGAGTGTTACAACGTTAACGTCTCAATATTGGGGGCCCAATGCCGAGGAGGACACAGTACTAAGTACTGGGAGAGTACGAACCCATCTTGTGTTCTAGGTCCGTGAATCACGACACACCCTCGGCGCTCGCTCTCGGGCCAAAAGATCCCTGAACTAACTATAATAATATCCATGAATACCATTTCCCGGAGACCATCTTCAACCTAAAGTTTAGCGTCCAATCAGTAACTAACAGTGAGATCGTGTTGCTTGAGGTTGATGGGCATGAACCTAGAAGTGACAACGCCAATCAACTTCGAGTTGAACCGTGCTTGCCTTTTCTGATGTAACTGGCATTACTGATGGCATGAATACACACGAGCTTGCATTATGGAGCGCAATCATTCCATGTAAGCCAGTGAGAGCGGGCTATACGCAAAGTCAAAGCGGACGCCGTCCAAAGTCGTGTGTCTAGCAGACTAATTACTAATTAGCAAACCTCGTCGCTGTTCCAGAACTTGTTCATCCTCTTCCGCACGTAACCCAAGGGCAACTGACATGGCTCCAAAGGGAGTATTCGCCGGGGCCCACTCGGTATACATACTGGATGACACGGCGTTTGAAACGCAGCAGGTCACCCGGTTTCTCGTTACGATCGATTGAATACGACGGCCCACCCACAGGGCTTGCGTGACCAGCAGCAGCAAACCAGGAGAGGATGAATACAATGGAATACTCTGGTACATTGCGCGGATATCTTTCCTGGTCTGTTGTCGGATGTCGATTTCACGAAAAAACTTGTGTTTATAGAGGAGAGGGCCAAAGACGAGCGGAGGGATTTGTTTGGCAACAGTGTCGGAAACAAACAAACTCATCGCCTGGCCCATCTAATCTCTGCCAACAATTATGGCCCCCCAATTCTCAGATGACGACATCGAAGAAGAGCAAGTACACTTTCAAAATGTCGTAACAACGTTCCGCCAGTATGCCAGATACTCCGTGAATAACATCCATATTTTTTTTTTTCAACTTCGGCGGCGTGGCTGATGGGTGTGTCAGTTAAATGCAAATAACAGACGACGAAAAGACATACACACCATCCCACTCGCTGATCGCGAACTGTTGACCAAGTTGGGGTATGGACAGAAGTTGAAGGATGTCGACAAAGCGATACTCGCCAACGCCTTGTTTTTGAACAAGATCGTGGAGAATCCGGAGATATTTGGACACGAAATCGAAGACTTTGTAGTCGACGGGGATATCGGTGAAACTGACAACAACGCGCAAGGTGCTCGAGGTATGTCGCGCAAGTGCGTTCGTCAAACCGGACCCCTCCATATCGCCATTAAGACATGATGATGCCTGTCCCAGCAGGAGGAAACACATACGAACACGCCCACTCTCCCCCACACACCCATCCCCATGATCGGCCTACACGTCCATCGGATCCGCGAAGAGGAGGCTACAGACCGACAGAGTTTGACATGGACAAGCTTCGGAGTACGATCAAGCTTTTCGTGCGCGACTGGAGCAAAGATGTAGGAGCGATGTACGGTCATGTCCTATCTCCTTTACATACCATTCTAGGGCAAACCAGAACGAGACTTATGTTATGAACCTATGAAGAAAGCCTTGGAAGAACACTTCGAGGGTAGGAACAGGTATGATTGCCATCTTCCACTGTACCTGTCGTCTGACTTTGGCCGATCAATAAGGAATACCCTCCGCGTTCTCGTTCCGGGTGCTGGTCTAGGCCGACTCGCCTACGATGTCGCCAAACTTGGTTCGTCCGTCCTCATTACTCGTAACTCTACCTTATCCCTCATGACTTCCGTAGGCTTTGCATGTCAAGGAAACGAGTTTTCTCATTATATGCTACTCGCTTCCTACCTCATTCTTAACAGGTACTGTCGGATCTATCCAGTTGTTTTTACTGGCATCTAACACGTGCGCTCACCGTTCATCGTGAAAGGACCCAATCTATCGACGAACACACTATATATCCCTATATTCACTCCTTCTCCAACGTATCGTCCCGTGAAACTCTGCTCAAAGCCGTCACCATTCCAGATGTCCTTCCCTCTGACCTCCCTCCAGGTTCCAACTTTTCTCTAGTTGCTGGTACGCCTAACACATCCCTCCGAGCATCTTTAAACCATCTGAGTCACGACTCGTAGGCGATTTCGAGGAAATATACGGTTCAGAGAACTCAGATGAGAACGAGCCACAAGCAGGGAAATGGGATGCTATTCTGACCTGCTTTTTCATCGATACCGTTCGTCTCTCTCGTCGGATCTACGTCTTTCATACCTCCGTGCTGACCAGACCTCTAGGCTAAAAATATCGTCAACTATCTTCGCATCCTCCACCGCATCCTCGCACCCGGCGGAGTCTGGATCAACCTAGGTATGTCTTATTTGTCCTGAATCACACTTCGTCAATCTCTACGTTGTCCATGTGGCTGAGGGAGAGCTGGCCGACACGCACAGGTCCTCTCCTATGGCACTTTGAAAACAACGAAAACGAGTACCCCTCAATCGAATTGGACCTAGCTGAGGTCAAAGAACTCGCTCGTACGATCGGGTTCAAGTTACACGTATGTCTCCCACGTTTTTCCTCCCTTCTCTCTATGCTGTTTTTATTATTTTTTCGCGCCTCACACATACGCTTGCTCACCTCACCACCCTTGGGGATTAGGATGAACGATCGATCGACACGTCCTATTCAAGTAATGACCAATCGATGCTCGGATACGTTTACCACGCAGCATTTTGGAAGGCAGTTAAAGTGTCCGCCGGCGGAGTAGTGGGATTTTGGCTGGTTGTATACACATATACCCTGTATGGGGAACCGGTTTTGATGCAGAGATATTGTCAAGTAATATTACTTTGAAACTAACATGTGCACCCACCGCTGGGGAGGCCAGTGGATGCACGTGTGAGTATTTCTTTTCATGACCGCCAGCCATTTCAGGGGGAAAACGAAAACAAGTTGGAAATGGAGGACGCACGGTGGTATCAAATGTAGTAGTATTGTAGTGCACCATGCCACTAGCATTGTTTCCTATATCATTCAGTGCCTGTAGTTTCATTACCAAGTGTCCATCCTGTTCTGCCATTCTGCAGACAACCTGTAGTATTTCAGAGTACTATATGGTTATGCAGCACTGTGAATGGCACTCAGAGCTGACAGTAGAGCTTGACATGGTGTGACATGGCTTGGCACTGTCAAGACCTGGCCAATGTATAGGGGTCACTGCTGAAGGATGGCTGATGGAGGCCAATGAGATAGGGGCTGTGCCAAGGCTGGCTAATGTATAGGGGTCACTGCCAAAGGGTGGCCAATGTAGGTTGGTGCCACAGTTTACTCCAGAGTGCTCCAAAATGCTATGGGTATGCTCTGGCATATGTGCTGCAGTTTGCTCCAGAATTTGCTCCAGAGTGTCTGTCATGCCACAGTTTGGTTCAGAACATAAGCTGCAGCTTATTCTGGAGGGCCATGGCCTGCTCTGGAGTGCTCTGGAATGCTATGGTATGCTCCAGCACATGTGCTGCAGTGTGCTCTGGAGGCCATGGCATGCTCTGGCACATGTGCTGCAGTTTACTCTGGAATTTGCTCCAGAGTGGCTGGCATGCTGCAGTTTGCTTTGGAACATATGCCAAAGCTTACCCCAGAGGGCCATGGCCTGCTCTGGAGTGCTCTGGAATGCTATGGTATGCTCTGGCTCATGTGCTGCAGTGTGCTCTGGAATTTGCTCTGGAGTGGCTGGCATGCCACAACTTACCCCAGAGGACAATGGCATGCTCTGGCATTTGCTCTGGGATGGCTGGCTTGCCACAGTTCACTTTAAAACATATGCTGCAGCTCACCCTGGAGGGCCATGGCATGCTCTGGAGTGCTCTGGAATGCTATGGTTTGCTCTGGCACATGTGCCACAGTGTGCTCTGGAGGGCCATGGCATGTTCCAGCACATGTTCCACTTACCCTGGAGGGCCATGGCATGCTCTGGCATTTGCTTTGGAGTGTCTGGCATGCCACAGTCCACTTCAGAATATATGCTACAGCTCACCCCAGAGGGCCACATCAGTAAACCACTTTGTGTGCTGGCAGTCCTAGGGAATCTGTCCAGTGCTGGACAGCTCTGGACAGCTCTGGCCAGTAAAAGTGATTTACTGATGCCATGGCATGCTCCAGAGTGCTCTGGAATGCTATTGGTTTGCTCCAGCACATGTGCCACAGTGTGCTCTGGAGGGCCATGGCATGCTCCAGCATATGTGCCCCAGATTGTCACATGGTGCTGATCTACATATGCTGTAGCATACAACACTACACTGCTGGGCTATCCCAAAGCATGCTGAGGTCTTGTGCCAACTTCCAGTGCTGATCTACACATGCTGCAGCATGCCACTGGATAGGTGACATCTCACACTAGGCTACTCCAGGTACTACAGGGACAATTTGATTGTGGCCTACTCATGTGTTATTTGATAATAGAAGCTGGGCTGGTCCATACAGCAGGGGGATGACTCAATGCAGGGCTTGACCTCTGCTGGCCCATGGGACATGGCCAATTGTCAGCCTCCACTGGTCCTGTCATACAGTACAATGTAGGTACATTATGTGATTGTCCCATCCTTCAGCATGTGCCAGATGGCTTCAGGAGCAATGTGGCCAAGCCTGACACTGCAAGCATTTCACAATTTTTCATAACAGAACATGTTGAAAAAAATTGAAAGAAGAGATACAATGTTATTTTGGATGTTTTCAAACAAAAAATCCAAAAGTAATAATTTATTTTCTTTGCATGTCCCACCTATAAACATTAATTGATGGTAATGACCATTAGCTTTTAGTCTAATGACAATTATTGTCAATCCATGTTTGCTGGTGGAGAAGGCAAAGAAAATGAAATATTATTTTTGGATTTTGTCTGTGAAAACATCCATTATAACATGGTATCTCTTCCTTCAATTTTTTTCAACATGCTTGATCATGAAAAATTGTGAAATGCCTGCAGTGTGATGTGTATCCCCTCCATAGTTAGGGATTCTGTGGCATTAGCTAGGCCTGAAAAGGCATGATGAGCTCATTTGAGGTAGTAGAGCCCTTTTTGCATTGGAATTTTGGCTGCTTTCTTTTTCCAAGTGTCAAAAATTTGACAATGCTTGTCTCAGAATAATGCAGCATACCCAGCAACCTCAAGTTTGCTAATGGAAATGAGTATAATTCCCATTTTGGGAGCATAGAGCACATCCTTGAGTCAAATGTGGGTTTGTGCAGTGCCATTTGGGAGTGAGATTGTGAGATTGCCTTTCCTGATGGCATGGAAGGTGTGGTTATTGGCAGCAGTGATAGGTTTGGGGATGATTGGCTTGTAATCAAGAAATTTACTGCAGTAGGAGGACATATGATGTGAAGTGCCTGAGTTGAACAGAATGGTCTCCTCTGCAGAATTTAGGCTTCCACCTGCAAGAAGAACATGGTTGAGGGTGTTTGTGTATGCATCTTCTTTGTTGATAACAATGTCCTGGGGGTTTGGAATTTCCTCCTCCACAATTTCTGTGAGCCAATTGTCATCCTGTGGGTGTGCTAGCCAAACTCCATCAGGTTTGGAGTCAATGCTGGTCTGTGTACTTGAGCTGGCTGTTGTGCTGGGTGTGGTGGCTGCTTTTCTGTGGCCTTTCTCCTTCTTTTTCCCTTTGGCCTTGTTCTGGAACCACTTGGGCACTTGCCCAGCTTTTCTGCCACCCTCTTCCCAGCATTGGTCTTTTGTGTGAGCTTTCTTTCTGCAATTTTTGCAATTAAACTTCTTTCCATCCTTTGCTGAGTAAGCTGCATCTTTGGAATTTCCAGAGTTTCCAGAGTTGCCCAACTTTGTCCATGTTTGGTGCCTATCATATTCATTGGAAATTACTTTGATTATAAAGTCTGGAGACAAGTCCTTCCACGTGACCAGGGCTGAAGACATCATACAGTGGCTCAAAAAACTGACCACATGTTTGGACATTTTTCACTAAAGTCAATACTGCCCCATATCCCCTAACCTAGGCCCTAACCTATAAGTGTATGAAACAGAGCCCTTACCATTGGCTCTCTATTGGTGCAGGGGTCAAGGGTTTTGGATAAGGTTTGATCAAATGGCAGCCATTTCAGAATGATGACTCATGTGGTCAGTTTTTTGACTTTAGGTTTCAATTACATATATTAGACCCTGGCATACTGTAATATTAGTACATACATTTGGTAATGGTTCTATTATGTCACCTTTATGTAATTGAGTGTCAGACACTATAAATAAACCCCACTATCACTATGAAACCCATCTCTGCATCTCAAAGAAAGAGCAACATATCTATCTCCTCTCTTGGAGGTGCAGACAGAACTGTGGACTGAGCAGGGGGTGTTGGATCCAGAGCAGAGGTTGCAGTGGAAGGAGACAAAGGCACCTGGGGTGTCAGCATTCCCTGTAATGATGGTTTGAATGATATACTGCCCAGTACCCAGTCAATTGATGGATTGAAGCAGGTGAGCCAGTTGTGTCCTAATACCAGTGAACATGAAGAATCCAACAGAGTAACATAAAATGAAACAGAGTTGACATCACCAGAAGGAAAGTGGAGGGAAAGATCTACTTCTTCAGAAATGACAGCATTTGTACTACCAGCAAACAAGTCGAGCAGAACTGGCAGAGAAATGGAGGAAACAGGAATAGCATATTTTTTGATTATGGATGGGTCTACAAAACAATGAGAAGAGCCAGAGTCAATCAATGCAGAAACAGTATCAGCAGAGTAATCAAGAAGAGTTACAGACAGAAGTAAAGAATTGGGACTAGAGAGAGTGGATGCATTGGGTTGGATGTCTGGTTGTGCACAGTTGGGATCAATGCTCCCTGGAGGAGTGGACTAATTTTTTGGCTCTGCCTTCTCTGCAGTTGGAGGAGGCAGAGTATAGAAAGTGGTTGGATGGAGGTTGGAGTGACCAGCTTGTGAAGCACTTTCACCTTCAGTGCAAGAGTGGCATCAAGTGGAGAATGATTGGAACTGTTCAATGACAGAAGGGAGTCAACATGGATTAGCTAGTGCAACAGTGAGGTTTTCAGTGACCTCTCTCTGGGATTGAGCTCAAGTTCTCATAATGGTGTAAGTTTTTTGGAAGACAGAAAATGAGATTGTACAAGTGCAAGTACAAATATACTGTCAGGTCCAGGCCTACTCCGACCAACTCTGATGCTGGATGAGGTCTGGGGAGAGGTTCAGAAGCAAGTCCAACAGAAAGAGCAGGACTCTGACTGGCAGAGTGTTGGCAAGAATGAAGTCCACTGAGGTAAGGGTGGAGCAAAGTGAGGGCATCAGGTTTAGCTTGTGCACTACCCCCTTGCATGATCTCAGCCCTCATATTCCAGAGGGGGAGTACAGATGGACAGTCAGAGGTAACTCTGACAGGCAGAAGACAGAGACAGAGGGAGTAGGAACTAAGTTGATATTCATACTGAGGAACAGTGGAGTATGATACATGCTTTTATACTACTACAGAGGTACAGTAACTGGAATTGGAACTGACATATGGAGACCCAGAAATTTTCAAGTAAAACTTCCTAGATGACAAAGGAAGGGTAGACAGAGGACATACAAATGGGTAACATAGAACATCCAGAAAAGGAAACAGTCCAGGCACTGGACCATGTGGTGCATGCACTGCAGAGTACCTGACTGTGAGCTGTCAGGGAGGAGTCTGAAGGTAGTCACATGACCCCTCAGAGAACAGTCTGTTTGGTCCAGTAGGAGAGCAGTACAAGTCTGACAGCAGTCAGAGTGGAGACAACTTGTAAATGTCAGGGGGCAGGTGGAGTTGGTGCAGAGTGAGTGAATGACCGACAGAAAGGGGTGCAGAGTGAGTGAGGACTTAGGATGAACACATGATCATGACACTGAATGCATATATGAAGCAGAGGCTCAGATAAAAATATGATGCATTGTTCTGGAATAGCATTGCTGTTTGTTTTGCATGTTTCCTGTCTGCTCCAATGGCAGAGCCTGGCTTGCAGCTACATAGACCAGTGCCTGAGATTCCAACTAAATAGGCAAATTGTCCAATGTGAAACACAATTTATAGCGGGATATTCAGATACTCTATAGTGCAAGAGGTTCCACTTTCTTCATTTCTTGTCTTCGTAGATCCCTTTGATCTCCCTTTCTGCTGCCTGAGAATGCCTTACACAGACTATCCTTATGTAGATAGCTTGGATCCCCCTTTCTGCTGCCTAAGAATACCATACATGGACTTGTCCTTATGTTGTGACAGGGGTGCATCTTGCTAGATGGTGTCATGTCCATGACTCTTGGACTCAATCCCAGTCCAGCCTGGACCCCTAGCCCCTATGTCTAGTCAAGTCCAAACCTAGTCTGACCTAAGAAACCCAACTCTGGCCCTAAGTAACCTAACTCTGGCCTAGATAACCCAAGTCTGGTGTTTTACCCCTATCTCTGGTCCCCTTTGGCCTCTCGGCCTCATGCTGCTCCACCCTGGTCCTCCCAGGTCCATGTCCAGGTCACTTGGACATAACTCTGGTCTGTTCCCTGATGTTTGTGCTATATTTAGTTTAGTCCTCTTGCCTGATCTCTGCTTACTGTACAAACCCTGTGTCTGACTCTGGTTATGCCAGTCACCTGGACTTTGGCTATTAGTCTTGGCACAGCCACTGTGGCTATCCACCCCTTGGTAGTCATCTTCCTAATAGCTTACTAACATGTCTGGCTTCATGTTCATTACTCCAGACCTGCCTCATGTATTTAACCCCTGTACATACTTCATAGCACTCCAGTCAGAATATCAACTAAGTATTACCCTCAACCCTGTACTACTCTCTGAGCCTACTCTATAGCTAAGGCTGAGCCTTAAGCTTTCCCTGACCCCTGTCCCAGACCTCTCCCTGGCTTGCATAAGGGTACAGCACATAAGCTGAGACCAAGGGAGGTAGATCCAACCCCAGACCGGCTTCCCCCTGTGCACACTCCAAGACCAGTCAGTTTCCCATGCTACCAGACTTGTTCCCATGCTCCCAGCCTTGACTCTGGACCTTCAGACTTGGCCCCTAGCCTTTGGCCTTGACTCTGGACCTTCAGACTTGGCCCCTGGCCTCTGGCCTTGACTTTGGTCAACCAGACTTAGCCCCTGTCACCCAGTCTTGAAGCCTGGTCACCTGAGGGTAAACCCATACTTGACAGATGGGCCTGTCCATTTGTTGTGATGATATACATGATACTACTGAAGGGCCTGTCCTTATGTTGTGACACTATTAGATGATATTACTGATGGGCCTATCCATATGTTGTGACAATATAAACAATACTACTGAAGGGCCCATCCTTATGTTGTGATGCTATTAAACAATATTACTGATGGGCCTGTCTTTATGTTTTGACAGGGTACATCTTACTGGGGCTGGGCCTGCCCATATGTTGTGACAATATAAATAATACTACTGAAGGGCCTGTCCATATGTTATGATGCTATACATGAGATTACTGACAGGCCCATCTTTATGTTTCATCAGAGGTACATCTTACTGTGGGTGGGCCCATCCATATGCTGTGGCTCTATTAAATGATATTAGTGACAGGCCCATCTTTATGTTTTGACAGGGTACATCTTACTGGGGCCAGGCCAGCCCATATGTTGTGACAATATAAATAATACTACTGAAGGGCCTGTCCATATGTTGTGACTCTATTAAATGATATTAGTGATCAGCCCATCTTTATGTTTCAACAGGGTACATCTTACTGGGGCTGGGCCTGCCCATATGTTGTGACTCTATTATATGATACTAGTGATGGACCTGTCTAGATGTTGTGACACCATAAATGATATTACTCCTGGGCCTGTCCTTATGTTGTGACCCTCTCCATGTTATGATAGGTGGTGTAGGGAATAGGTACTCCCTACTAAGGGGATTTAGTTATTTTATCTTTTCTACTGTATTTTTGCTTTGATTTACATTAGTGATACTTAGTCTACCTGTGTGGCACATTTTTGGTAGCTTAGTCAGCATTTTTGCGCACTAGTGTAGATCTAGAGTACACAAAAAAAAAGAAGAACCAGACTGTGAGACAGCAAAATCAAAGACAGTGAACAAAAGACTGTGACAAGCCCTCATTGAGGCACCCATAGATGACCCTCCAGACACCTTTACTCACTCATTTTCCCCACTCCATTCATTTTGACCAACTCCAGTCACTCCTTCACCTCTTTTCACCACTCCAAGCTCAGAACCCCCCTGGGTCAAACTAGACCCATTCCTATCAAGCCCTAGGAGTCCCCTGCACTCCCTAGCATCGCTTTATACCTAACTTACAGTGGGCCTGCCTTGATGTTGTGACAGGGGTGTAACCTACCAGGATGGGCCCATCCATGTCTTACAGCAACTCAGTATACTTAATTGGTCATGGGCCTGCCTAAATGTTTCAATCCTTACTCACCACAGGCCCTCCCATGTGTTGTGGTAATGCACTTACAGGCCCATACATATGTTGCTCTCACTTTAGTCCCTTAGGCCTGTTAGGTGGGCCCATCTCAGGGTCTATATAAGTGTTGGTGTTTTGGTGCACAGGCTGCCCATGTGTTGTGACTAAAAGTGACTACACTATGTGAGCAGCACTGCTTACCTCTTTCTTGGCAGGGATGGCTTCCATGAGGTGAGTGATATAATACCCTTGACTGATTGCAGGTGCCATGTCTGCACCTCAATCACTGTTACCCTCATCCTCCTTTCATGTCAAGCAGTAGCTTTAATGCAGTGTTGACTCTCAGCCCAGCTCTGGTTGGGACAACACTAGCATCATGTCTCTTCAGTTGCTCCATCATACAGACATTTGGATACTATAGGCAATTCCCATCAGACTCAACGATCATTAAGCCTTTAGTGTGTTCACTACTGTATGATGTTGGTTTCTTGAGACTATGTTTAGCAGGTAGCTACCATCATGTATGTCCACATCTTTCTGCCCTCACCTATGAGTGATAGTGGAATTGGTTTCAACTCCCCAACTAGGTTACTGACTCTTGTGCACATTGTTTGTGTCATCTACTGGACATGGATGGTGACTGTTGCTGCATTTGGAAAACCCAACAAAGTCATGATATTCACCTCTTCAAGGGGAGCCAATCTGGTTATCACAACTTTCATATGCTATCTTGTGCAGGTGTGAAACCCTGATGAACAATGTTCTTACATAGAATTTGGCTCATTTCACCAGCTCTTCTTTGCATTCCATCTTTACAGATTCTCTGAGAGTTGGCTGCTGCCCACTATATGTTCCATCCTAGGTGGGATAAGTTTTGTTGGCACACTCATCAACACAGCAAGAGCCCTCAGTAGACAATCATTGGGAGGGAACATGAATGCCCAGTACTGGCTAACAATTTTGACCTTGGTCAGTGGTGCAACATGTGATCTGATCATCACAGCAGGTCTTGTTTTCCATCCAATGAAACAGTGTGCCAAGACAAAGATATCAAGGTATGTATGGTAGTCAGAATGATCACTGATTGTGGTGACTTGTTGATTTAGGACTATCAATTTACTGGATAGGTTGACAGTATGGTCAATAGGTAGGCTTCCTTTTTCTTAGGATTGCTGTTGTACCACTCCTTACAAGCAGCTAGAAACTGGGCTTGTGACAAGGTAAGCAAGCAACATGAGTTCCTTGGAATTCAGACCGACCTGTAGAGCACAGCATAAATGCTGTCCTTGTCACCATTTTCATGAGTCAGGGCTTGTTGTTGTATTAATCACAGCAGCACTGAAGTACTGATGATCCACCACAGTTTTCTTTGCAACAGACCACCTGTATGTGTAGTACATGAAACTGTGGCAAGCTGCTTCTCCCTCATGCTCTGTTTGCTAGTTATATGGTCAGCACTCTACATCATTCTTGCAGATGGTAGGGTGTCGACTTCAGTAACTCACCTGTTGACTATGTCTTACCTGACTTTTCCTGACAGTCTACACCAATACCTTCTTGCTGCATGAGCTTAGGAGAGTCCTTCACCTCTGTCCACTTGCTTACAGAAATCTCTGCACCCATCATCAGACTGAATAGCTGTACTCCTCATGTTGAACACCACATCATGCAAGGTGCAGTGCTCTCTACCTTTGTTGCACAAGCAGCTATGTCAAACATTCCATGCAACATGAGTCACTATTATCTGACATCATTCTCATTGTTGACTTTGTTTCCCAGGCTGCATTGAGTATTCCTTTCATGCCATCCCTGATTCAACACAAACTCTGTGACCTCTCACCCACCTACAGAGTGTAAACAAATACATTATTTGTGTGGCAAGTTGGAACAAACCTGAGCAGAAGTCCACTACATAGGTGATATGGGTTCTTATTCAAATAGATTTCTGTCTCAACTACAAAGATGTACAATAGCCTATTCTCACATGTATGTAGGGCACAGCACAAATGCACCTTCATCCAGCTGAGCATGAGTGAGTCACCAAATGAGGGCTGAGGGTAACACAATAGCAAGTTAGTAGTCACACATACTATTCTGATCCAATCAATCATGCCCATAGTGAACTACTGAGCAGGTGAGCCAAAGTGAATGAAAAGATAAGGAAAAAGCCTGGTAATGTGCAATTTCTGCAGTGTCCACATGAGTACCAATGATCTTCAATTGAATGCATGTATTTTCTTGATGATCTGGTCATCTGAAAAAAATGACAGAAAGTTAGAGGTGAGGTTAATTTTCACATTGGCAAATATGAGCTGATGATTAGCATGAGGGACAACTTTGCATCACAGGCGAGCATGCACACCTAATGTAATACAAAAACTTGTAGGGGTCCTATGTCAGCGAAGAAGCCCATGCATTATTCACCACACCATCAACAACTTCTCCTTTGAATGGCTTGAAAATGTGTGACAAACTCAGCCTGTCCACTCACTGCAGAAACAAGATTTTAGCAGGGGGTATAATCAGATTCTCCAAATGTAGATAATCTGACCTTGATTTTTTTTTGTAAGATATAGCCATTAGTCTGAGTAAAGTCCAACTCAATGATTTTTGAGTAACATATCCAAATAATCCAATGTAGGCAAGATCCAAATATAGGCAATATACCAATAGCCTGACCTCTCGCATGTGCATTTCCCCACCCTGACTATGCTTGACTCCATCAGCCATAGTCCAACTATAATACCATCAGAAGAGTGGCTCTTGCCACCCTTGTGCCCCTCAGAAAAAATAATGGACCTTGCAAAAATTTTCCTTGGTCTCCAAATTCAGTGGTTTGCCATGTACATCATGAACCAACCCAAGGTATGTGGTACTTGAGTCCTCTGGCCTATGCACTCACCTCCAAAAGTTTCATGTCGATGCTAACCAGGTGGTTCCAACCTCACAAGCTGATGAAATCGAGCTTGTTGGTCCCCTGACAGTCATCAAATGTAGACCACATGTCCTTTGACTTCATGTCCCAACCAGTGTCCAAAATGTTACACTCTCCTTCGAGCCAAACTCCCAAGGCACTGTGGTATGTGTGGCTAATTACTGTTGATGCTGGCACAATGGTTCATGAAAATATAAAATGCAGCTGCACTGCTGACACAATCATCAACTACCACTCAACTGCACCACTCTTGCACCAGTACCCCACTTCCACAAAAATGTTCCAACACACTGAAGCATCCCAAACTGCTGCCACCACTCCCTCCATTGCTCTCCCACATGAAATAGTCACTAATGCTGCAGACATAGTCATGGCAGAGCTTTTGATGCTCCATGACCACAGGAACAAGCAATACTGGAAAAGAGCTATGCATGTCATTTGGGAACAGTTGGTTCATGGCATGCCAATCTATTTATCCTCTGATATTTACAACATTCTAGACCCATGTGCACCCTTTGGTTGAGGAACTGCCCTCAAAATTGACCATCCCCACCCACATCATCCCCTCCAAAATGATTATGAGAGATCTGGTGGTGCTTACAGCATTGAAGGAGTGGCCAAACTTTGACAAGTTAGAAATGCAATGGATGCCAATGTTGTGGACCATCCATGGTACCAGATTGGAAAGCCCATCAATAAGGGTAAAGGGCATGCAGTTCCATTAGACCCACTTCAGATAAGTGACAATGCTGCCACTGCTGCTGACACTTTGGAAGAACCCCACAGCCAATCAACCAGTTGCACTGCTCCTACTGGCACTCAGCCCAGAAGTCAACAGCTGCAGAAGCATACAAGGTCAGTGGCAGCAAGTGATGCCAACATTTCAATGGCAACTGCTGGAGCATCTGCCAGTCATTGCTGCTTGGTTGCAGCTCTTGCAACCCCTGCCACTGGCTATATGTCTGTTGCTGAAGAAGACTGATGTGATAGGTGCATGGAGAAAAATCTGCCATGTGTGGTCAAGCCAGGTTCTGCATGTTGGCAGTGTAGCTGCTGGAAGTACAGGTGCAGTATCTTTGCTGGAGTGAAGGCCATGTAGTCACAGTCAAGGTGACCCCACAGTCATGCTGTAACTGAGGCACCTGATGCAGCAGTGGACTGTCCTAAAACCATCACAGCCACCTGTCCCCCCAGCCAATGCCATCCTCAAAGCCCTTCACCAGGGCCATCAGCCATGATATCCTCAGAACCCACAACTCCTGCATGGCAGACCTGGAAGTGGTGGGCAGCCACTAGAAGTATGACACCCACCACTGGCAAGACAACCACCTCAGCTGCTCCAAGCTCCTGCAGGCAAAGTACGTCCTCCATTTTTTTCATTCTGCTATTCTTATTCAAGCCTATCATAGTTTTCAATGGAGTGGTCATTGTCACTCCATCCTGGCAGCAGTCAGGTCAGCAGATGTCAAGCCCAGCATCCCAGGGGGCAGCAACATCCCAAAGCCATCTCACTACCCCATCCCACCCAGTGACCCCTAATGCCACCCCCATTGAGCATATGGAAGAGGAGATCACAGCATTGTGGCAGCAGCATATGGAGACAGCACAAGATCTCCTAGATACCTGCTGCAAGGTTGCTGATACCCAGCAGGCCCTTGCAGATACCCAGACCAAGTTGCAGATGCTTTGTGATCTTGTCGAGGCCTTACACTAGTGCCTGTACCCATTGCCACACTCCTCACCTGATGCACCTGGTGAAGAAGTTTGTGGGGTTGCAGAGGGGAAACCCAGAGAGGAATCTGTAGGGAACCTCAGTAGTCTGTCAAGCTACTGAGGGACTAGGTAAATTTTACTAGTGTATGGGTGCGCTCCAACAGCTTATGTAAGCGACATGATCACATGCCTTAGTCCAAGTAAGGACAGGGGTCATTTCACTCCAACACCTGGACCCTCCTGCCCCTCCCCCATCAGCTTTGCAATTACAAGTCATCAAGCAGTCATTCCCATTGATGGTGCAAGGATACTTGACCTTGTGCCCACTATGATGGTCCAGGAGGTTGCAATTGATACTAGCATCCTCCAGAACCTCCCAGGTGATATGCTTTTAGCCCCTTCTACTTTCCTGCTGCTGTAGGGAATAGGTACTCCCTACTAAAGGGGTTTAGTTATTTTATCTTTTCTACTGTAATTTTTGCTTTGATTTACATTAGTGAGACTTAGCCTACCTGTGTGGCGCACTTTTGGTAGCTTAGTCAGCATTTTTGCCCACTAGTGTAGGTCTAGAGTACACAAATAAAAAAGAAGAACCAGACTGTGAGACAGCAACAAGTAAAGACTGCAAGTGAAAGACTGCGACAAGCCCTCGTTGAGGCACCCCCAGATGACCTCCAGATGACATTATTCACTCATTTCCCCACTCCATTCATTCTGACCAACTCCAGTCCCTCCTTCACCCTCTTTTCTCAATTCCAAGCTCAGAACCCCTCTGGGTCGAACTGGACCCAATTCTATCAAGCCCCAGGAGTCCCCTGCACTCCCTAGCTTCACTATATACCTAACTTACAACTGGAGCCCACTGTAAGGGGCTCTGCTTAGCTTGGATCCCTTCCTCCTCCTGCCTGGATTTTGCTTTTTGGCAGGTTTTACTTCGCATTTTTAGCCCTCTGGAGTCGTAGGTCATCACCTGCATTCGTTTTTCACTCATAGCCAGTTGTTTCGAGCTGCTCGAACCCTCCGTCAAGTTGTTTTCAGGCATTGGGCCTTCGAGGACCCTCAGGTCGCATTTTACCCTCTTGAAGTCGTTTTTCCAGCATGTCTTCAAACTCCTAGCACATCGTTTCATCGCCTCCTGCCCAACCGTTTGCAGTGCTTCTGGCCACATTTGTGTGCCCTTGCCCCCCAGAGCCCTCTCCAGTCGTGTTTTTGCATTTGGGACCCCTTCAAGTCACTTGGGTCATCAGTTTGGTTGCTCTAGGCCTTTTCCTGCCATTTTCCTGCCATCTTAAGTCATTTATCATCGCCTGCACTCGTTTCACAGTCCCTAGGAGTTGTCCACACCCGTTCGAAGTCGCACCAGGTCACTTTTTGGCACATTACCCCCAGAATCGCCCTCCCCCCCTCCTCCTGCCAGAGTTTTACTCTTGGCAGTGTTTCTGGCTCACTTTTGGCATCTTAGCACTGCAGGTTGCTGCCCCAGTTGCCCATCATTAGTGGCACTCAAGGTGGCTTTGGAAGTGCTCTGGAATTGCACTGCTGCTGCTATAAAGTTTGACTCTGATGTGCCAGGCCCTGTAGCACTGCTTGACTAGCAATACATGGTAGTTACTTATCCTGGAAGATACATATCAAATAACATATCAAACTTGTATTAATGCATTGTACATGATTGATAAACATCTACCCATCATCCAAGAGCTACCAGATGCCCCAGAAATCTGTCTGCCAAGATCTGCTCAAACAGCTGGACAAGACTAGCCTTCATGTTGTGATAGCAAGGCTTGAAAATGCATGATGTGGAGTTGATGGTAGCAGCTCAGAATCTATGTCAATGTCACTGAGTTCAGGCTCCAGCTCCCCTACAACTCTCTTCTTCATCACTCTGCCATCACCAGTCACTCCAATCCTGTCAGATTTTGAATCCAGCACCTCCAATGACACAGACTCCACAGCTGAGCATGATGGGTGTTATGCTTGGCTGCTAAATGCAATCATGGCTCTCAGAGATGAAGTAGAGCATGCATGTATCCTTGAGAGACCTGAGATGCCAATGATGTGGGCATCTCAGCTGTGCCTCCTCAAACATTTTGCAGATCATCAGCCCCACCTGTTTTGAAAGTGCCTTAATGTAGACCCACCAATTTTTGATCACATTCTGGATCAGATTAGTGGACACATGATATTCCAAAGCAATTCCAAAAACCATCAGCTGGCAGTTGCAGTCCAGTTGGTGATCTTCCTTTTCTGCACAGGGCATTATGGAAATGTGGTGTTGCCTGAGGATGTAGTGCAGTGGGCCAGTGTTAGCGTTGGCTCAGTTGTCAATTGTACAAACCATGTGATGGTAGCTATACTGGATGAGCACAATAGATTCATCAATATTCCATCTGAAGACTCACAGGAGATGGAAAGAGCATGGGTTTTCACTGAGTCATGCACCTGTTCAGCCTGGAGGAATGGCATGTTTGCCACTGATGGTTCAAGTATTCCCCTCTTTGAGAAACCACATATCTTCGGGGAAACATTCTATGATAGAAAATCTAGGTACTCATTGAGCTGCCAGGTGTGTACTCAAACACTGAGTGTGAACAGCAGAAGAAACTTACCAAGATAGCTTATTGTTTTGCCACACAATCTTCTTGTCATGGACTACAGACTTGGACATCCAGGAAATGTCCATGATGCATGGGCCTTCCAGGGGACTCACATTGCTTCAAACCCTATGCAGTTGATTCCACACAATCATTGGATGTGGGTGGACAGTGCATACCCATTGGAGACATGGTGTGTTGTCCCCTTCAAGAAACCTAAAGGTGGGAGATTATCTCAAGATCAGAATGTGTATAACAAGTACCTTTCAAAGGTATGCACCTAGTTTTGCTGCAGTACATGAGCTGACAGCTATGGAAGATCCACATACAAGTTGAACTGCATTTGCCACCTTGAAAGGGTACTTTCAAAGCCTCCATGAAGTGCACCTGAAAATCTGGACAGAGAAAGATATGAAAGTCACAATTTACTGGGTGCATTGTTGCATCATCCTACACAACATGATCATCCAGTTTGAGGAGGAAATGGACAATACGATTGAGTGTTCATCTGACTGGGCAGTCAACAAAGGAAGCAGCCTTGATGATGGGGATGGAATTGCTGTGGTGGAGGCTGTGGAGACTATGGGTCAGCAAGTTCAAGAAAAGCTATTGGATCAGTTGTTTCAACATCTCAGACAGGAATGAATCCATTAATGGCAGTTGTGGGAGATGGTAGTATTAGCAAGATGAAAAAAATACATTCACCATATGTACATCTTGCAAGAGAATAGCAAAAACATGAATACAATGCAAGTACATAGTGGGAACGCACCGGAGATGGATACAGTGGGGAAGTGTGGGTAAAAACTTGGCCATGACAAGATAAACCTATGCAGCAGGAGGGGTTGTGTCTGAATTGGCCTTCATGAGTTTCACAAGCTCAATTTTGAGGCAAAGCATCTTTGCATCACTGTTGAAGGTGATCTCCTGGGCCTTCATCAGCTGGATGTTGAGTTTCTTTGCCTCCAACTCCAATTCCATCTTAGTTGCCATTTCCACCTGCTCTTTCATCAATTCCTCCTTCCTATGAAGATATTCCATCTTGATCATATAGCATGTAGCCTTCCCAGAAGAAGAAGAAGCCACTAGCAACTCAGCTTCATGACTCAAGTTGATGACCTGGTCTTGAAGCTGAGACTTGCCACATTTAGTTAGTGTCAAACTTGGCTTTGTTGAACTTGTCTTTGATGATGAGTCCCAGAGGGACTGGCTAGGTTTTTGGGAAGAGCTACTGGAGGAGTCAGATGTTGTCATAGAGGCAATACTTGCAGATGAAGGAGGAGGGTGAAGATATAGTGAAGACTGAGAGAAGGAAATTCAGCTATCTGATGAGGGTGTATGACCCCTTCACAGGAGGGAGAACCTAGAGGGGAAATGAGTTTCACTTGGCATTGAAGGCCATGGTAGCTAGCAATAACTTATCAGTAAAATTTCATTAATGTTGCTCTGAATGAACATGAACATACCTTGTCACCCTGCACAGATGCAGAGTCCATGTTGATGTTGGGGTACTCATCACCACCAGTCTGCTCATCCCCAAACCCTGGCATTGCCTCATCAAACCCAGCTCCACCATCTTCTTCAACCTCATTAGTGACTTCACCACCAGCTTGAGATGGCATGTCCTCCTCAGCTTCCTCAAGTTCCCCCACTGTCCCCCCCCACACCCATGCAATCACCTGCAATCTCAGCCCTGGAACCCAAAATGTTCTTCATACCAAGTGTCTTGTTTTGGATAACTGCTAAGAAGCCCTCTGCATGGTTTTTGTTTGGCTTGGAGTTGAAGGGCTTGGGATTGAACAATGGGTTCCCCTGCCAAATGGAATGTAAGTCGTCATACCAAGGAGAACTGTTGAGAACAACATCTGTATGTACACATAAGCCCCTGCATTCTTGTACATCAGTCATGTAACATACCATGAAGGTTGGTGAATTTTGGATGGCCAGGTATGATGCCTTCCCCTGACTGTTTGAATTGTGCACAGCACTTTCAATAGCTTGCTTTCAGCCTAGATGATCATTAGTGAATCCTGGGTTTATCAGATGATTGGAGACTCACATATTGAGACAGTTGCCCACACTGACTTGAAACTTGGTAGCACTTGCTGTGTACATGTCCTTGTAGACACTGTCATCCTCAAAAACAGCTTGGGTGATCATCACTTGGACCTCCTTCTTGTTGTGGCCCACCAGTCTCTCAGTCAAAGTAGATGATAATGATGGGGGTAAGTCACCTGAGTTTTTGTCACTGAAAAGAATCCTGCAGTTAGCAGGATGGCTAAGAAGCCACTGGACAAGTATTTTGGTATGAGGAGTATCCCAATTGATGTTTTTTGGCTGGGTACTTTCCATCGAGGAGTCAGCCTCTGGCTGCTTGTTGGATGCTGGGCCCTTCCCTTTACTCCCACTCCCAGGTACTTGTGAGGATGATCCACCACCAGTAGTTGCAGTTACAGAAGGCCTTCCTTGACAAGCTTGTCCACTTGATGAAGCCATGGGTTTTGATAAGAGTGACTGCAGGTGAGCAGACCATCAAGGGTGTCATTGATAGGGAGGCATAATTTTCAAACTCTGTCATGGCATTGCTCTCAAATTTGCCACTTCCAGAGCACTTCCAGAGCACTTCCAAAGCCACCTTGAGTGCCACTATTGTATTCTCCACCCTTTGGCACTGTTCTGAACTGCTCAAGTCCCTGTTGAACTGGCTTTGAGAACCCCTCAGTCTTTCAGGGTTGTATCTTTGCTATTCATGCTCTCATTTTTGCCTCCAGCAGTCATCTTTAGTCATGCTGAGGCCCTCCCACTCATTTTGCAGTTTTTTTTTTCAGTCATTCTTGGTTGCCTCCAGCCATAGGTTGCCTCCTCAACTACATCACTAGTATTCATGTCTTAGTGTTACTGGTCAAATTCTAGCCTTTGGGATCATATCTGGGTGGTCTGTGCCCCTTGAGTGCTTGAGTTCATGTTTTGGCCCATTGACTTGAGTATTTCCACTTCGAGCTCATGTTTTCACTGTTTGTGCTCACTGTCTGAGTCGTTGAAACCTTTGGGATTGCATCATAGACCTTTGAGCTCACTTCAATCCCTTGGTACTTATGTGCAGCTGTATTTTCCCTTCAGCAAGAAGGCCTGAGTTCTCAGGAGACCCACAGAACCTTCGAGACTACTTCAATCAGGTAGTCAGGTACTGCAAGGGAAGGGGAGTCTTCAAAGACAAGGCAACCATCCAAGTTGTGCTTCAGTTTGCACCTCCAAGCTCATTGAAGCTTTGGTCACACTTTGTCAAGCCTAGTAATGGTGAATGGGATTGATTTGTAGGCCTGGTCATTGACCCCATGTAGTCCATTTAGTCACAACATATAGGTAGCCTGTGTGCCAAAATGCCAACACTTATATAGACCCTGTGATGGGCCCATCTAAATAGATTAGCCATGACACATAGACAGGCCTGAGGGCCTATAGTGAGAGCAACATATGTACAGGCCCATAAGTGCAATTCCACAACATATGGGAGGGCCTGTGGAGGGTAAGGATGCTGCAACATATAGACAGGCCCATGACCAAGTAAGTATGCTGAGCTACTGTAAGACATGGATGGGCCCATCCATGGTAGTGTGCACCCCAGTCACAATATCAGGATGGGCCCACCTATTGTATCATGAAGAAGGTTGCAATATATGGATGGGCCTGCCTGTCATATGCTTTATAGGGTCACAACATAAAGAGGGGCCCCTCTATGATAGATTACAGAGTTGGCAACATATGGAAGGGCCTGTCTTTGGGATAATATACCCCTGTCACAACATATAGACAGGCCCATCCATAGCAAGATGTGCACCTGTTGCAACATAAGGACAGGCCCATCAGTAATATCATTGACAGTGTGACAACACATAGACAGGCCCATCTAGTAAGATACACCCCTGTCCCAACATAAGGATGGGCCTGTCAATAGCAACATGTATGCCTGTCACAACATAAAGACAGGCCCATCAGTAATATCATTTACAGCATCACAACACATAGACAGGCCCATCCAGTAAGATGCACCCCTGTCACAACATAAAGATGGGCCCATCAGTAATACCATTTATAGTGTCACAACATATGGATGGGCCCTTCTGTAATATCATTTATACCATCACAACACATGGGCAGGCCCATCCATAGTAAGATGTACCTGTTGCAACATAAAGACAGGCCCTTCAATATATATCATTTACAGGGTCACAACACATGGACAGGCCCATCTAGTAAGATGCACCCATATCACAACATAAAGATGGGCCAGTCAGTATTATCAATTACATTGTCACAACAGATAGATAGGCCCATCTAGTAAGATATGCCCCTGTCACAACATAAGATGGGCCCATCAGTAATATCAATTACATGGTCACAACACATGGATGGGCCCATCAATAGCAACATGTATGCCTGTCACAACATAAAGATGGGCCTGCCAGTAATATCATTTACAGTGTCACAACACATAGACAGGCCCATCAGTAATATCATTTACAGTGTCACAACATATGGAAGGGCCCTTCAGCAGTATCATTTATGCAGTCACAACATAAGGATGGGCCCTTCAGCAGTATTATTTATATATTCATAACATATGGATGGGCCCTTCAGTATCTTTTATATTGCCATAAAACAAGGATGGGTCCATCTAGTAAGATCCACCCCTGTTGCAACATAAGATGGGTCCAACACCAGTAGCACATATAGTGTCACAACATATTGATCAGATCACAGCAAAATATTGAGGCAAGCATCCCAACATGCTGTAATTTTCCAACAGGCTGCAAGCAGCTTGCCCACTATACAACTCTGACCTCATCCACCCCAAGCATGAATACTATGCAACACACATCTAAAACCCCCCATGGATGGTGAATGGAACTAACAGACTGCATTGCATCATACATGAAAGCCAGATTTCAAGAGGAGGTATTCAGCAGACCTCACACCCTTCCAGATATATTGATTCCATTTCCAGTGTTATGTGAAGTGGATCACATATTGTCAGTAATCTCACAGGCCTATCATTGCCCAAGTAAGTCCATCATAATGGTGCAATGGAAGTTTTCATCTTTCTGCAGTCAACATTGGGAAAAATTGGGGTGGAAAAACCTGCAATGCAGAAGCTGCTGAGAGATAAACAGAAGTGACTGAGCTGTCCATTCTGGTGACCAACTCAAATACCATCTGCATTTGGTATTTGCCAGATGCCCTCAGCCCAAAAAGAAGGGTAAGGGAATGCAGAATCTCATATTCTACTGACTTAATGCAATGGCAGGCTGACATATGGAACCACCTTCATCTTCTGAGGGAACCACTGTGGGAGAGCATAAAGGCTTCCCCACAGGCATGGCAGATGGACAAGTCGTATTTCTGCAATAATGCTGAGTTGAAAGGCACCATCAACCTGTCACCCACATGGTTTCAACAGGGTCATTGGGTGGGTGATCATTTCTTTCCTCATGAATAAAGTGCTCATCTGTCTTGAAGCCCCAAAATGGCTTCCTGGAAGCCTCATGGCTGCTCAAATCCAGGATGGAAAACACTTCTACAAGGGAATGGGTCAACCAAATGTCTGACACCAATGCCCTGTTATCTGCAATCCTGTATGTCATCCATCTGTGAATGTATGCAAATGGCAGGGAAGTAGTGATCTGCCTTGGTGAACAGTCAGAACAGTGGGTGGATTCAGATATGAGCTCCATACTGTCAATATGGAGCTCCACATATAGCAGCATGTCCATGATGGTGGATCAGGCAACTTGTTACCACAGGGATAGTTGCAACTGGAGAACTGTTGATTTAAAGCTGCAACCTTTAATGTGAGATTTAGTAGGCAATGTGGATCTTGTATTTTATTAGGATATGCTGGCTCTTGAACTTTGGATGGGTGGTGTTGCCAAGATTTTGCAAATGGGTGGGTGCTTTGACATCATAGGTTGGGCAGGTACTCAGAGCTAAAGGGTGTGCATCATAAGCTGCAAAAAACATAAACCTACTCAGGCCATCATGCAGATGGGCAGATTGTCAGACATCACATGGATGGGTGGGGGTTCAGACATCATGTGAATGGGCAGTATCTCATAAATGATCAACATTCACAGTAATGTATATTCAACCAACTCCACAGTCAAAAATATGTAAACTATTGAAGTGGCATGCCCAACAACCTGCACAATGCCCACCACCTAGCATAGAAATGGTCAATTTGTCAACCCTGACCATTGAAAACATTGGCATATTTCCAAATATTTTTGATGCAGTAGTTTACCTGCTCCTTGATATGGCCATCGAGATGGTCTGCAATTGGCACCTCAGGCAATGGCCATAAGCCCTGGGCCATCATCAACTATTTGCAGCAACAAGAATAAGTGGCATACCTTAAAAAAATCCCAGGCTGCAGAAAACAATCCCTTGCCTTGCAATCTTTGGGAATCTGCTGTGTATTCCTCAGAACAATATAGCCACCAAGGGAATGCAAAGCCAGAATTGGGATCAGCTGCATGTGGGGTCCAATGCAGGATGATGGCACTGATATTGTCAATTATGCAAAATGTGCTAAGGGGAATTAGCTGCATTTGATCACAGAAGCTAACCTCATCATCTTGGTGTCTGAGGTACACATGGTAGCATGCTGGGAGGGGAGGAGTATAACTGGCATGCACACCATCACCAGAATCAAGCTATTAAGCTGATTCTGAAGGAATTATGTATCAGTCCCACATTGTGAAAAATTGATGTGAAACCTACCAAGTCCATTGCTAGGTTTGCAAACCAATGCACAGGCCATCCCACAATATCAGCAGTCTGCTTCAGATGTACAGAGGCCACCTCAATCTGGCATGCCAAGTAGGGGATACCCATCTCTACCACAGACTGGCAAGATGGGTGTGATTGGCTGGTGATGAATGGCTTGGGACAATTTTCAAAGGTGGAACACAGATAATGAACAACTTCCATCAAATTGAGCATATTGACGAGTTGAAGGCCCTGAGAGGCTGCACCATACTGGTCCCTTGCAGCTGTGCCAAATTCTCTCACAATGGCATTTGCAGCCTGTGCAAGGTGCCTATTGAGGGTGGGATCAAATGGTGTGTTGCTGGGAGTGGTGTGTCCATGATAGCGAGATACCACAGCATGTAAGGTGCACAGGACTAAAATTATCAATGTCAAAGGTCTATCAGATTAAGCTCATGCCCATACCTTGATTGCAACATGGAACAGGTGCCAATTCCCATTGTTCCATTTGAAGAGATTGCTGTGTGGATGGAAGTTCACCTACATAATTGATGGATATCACTGATCACATGAATAGAACCAAGTAAATGCCCACCATTGCATATTTCCTTGAAAAGATCCCTCATCTCTGATCATTTGGGCATGCCAAAAGTCAAACAGTTTGCACCATTGTCCTCATCTGCTGCCAAGTCAAAAGATTCAACAGGTACATTTGAATTTACATCCATCATCTTGTGTGATGGGCATCACTCTCTTTGCTTTTCGGCCTCATACCTGGTCTTCGAAAGTCCTTGCACTGGGGGCACTTTGAAACAAGTGGGGGAGGCATTGGTTCCCTCATATCCTGCAATCAAGCAAGCAGGTTAGTTGGAGAATCAGGTCAAGGAGATCAGTCCCTCAGATTTGATGATTCATGGGTGATGGGCAGAGGAGATGGTTCCCACACATTCTGCAAGTCTGCCAGAAAATTGACTTGCATAGTAATGTCTTGTGCAGGTGTTGAAGACCCATCCATCCTGTTTAATTTCTCATGTGTGACTGGCAGTGCCAATGGTTCCCATGCATTCAGCAATTGCTCAAGTAGATCTGCATTCATACCATCCACTGGGGGAGCAGTTGGTTCCCATTCATTCAGGAACTGATTCATCAAGTTGTTGTGTGGATCTATTACTAGAAAATTAGTTTGTTCATTAGCTTGAAGGGCAATCATGCCAACTCACCAGCCATGATTCTGCCCTCTGCCAAAGCAGTTGGCTCCCTTTCCTGCAGGAACTGATCCAGCAAGCTTTTGCATGAATCTATAGTGAAAGAACATTTGTTGTTTAGCTTGGAGAGAAATCATGTTCACTCACTGGCCACAATATCCATGTTCAACCCCACCATATCCACCCTTCCACTTGAGACAATTGGTGGAGGGGTTGGCTCTTGCAACTCACACAGTTGTACTAGCATCTCCTCCAGATTTTTGGACTGCTTCACATGGGAGCTAGATTGCCTTGGCTCAATTGGTCTTACATTAGCTGTGGATGGCTTAGGTCACTGGATCCAACAATGAAGACAACCTCACCTTAATGACAGAAATGAACTTGGTGGGACTGTTCAGCAGACATATTTGATGATGATGGGTTCACTGATAGGTTGATGATCAATCAAGATTTAAACTTGTAGGAACAATGGCAAGAATATCATTCACACCATGGGAAGCAAGGTTGGACAATGGCAGATGGAGCCAAATTTTGGGTAACAGCAATACATGGGAGATGAGCAGCAATATCTCCCTACATAGATAGCTACCAGTTGCTTCCACATGGCCAATACATAGACCTGTCCCACTCAGCTCTCTGCTCAATTGTCCTGCTCAACTGTCCTGCTTAACTATCCCTGATATCAAAGATGCCTCTCACAACCACCATGGTGTCATGAGCTACTGTACATGCTATACACTTGTATTCTAATGTGTCACACTGGGCTAAGCCCTCTATAGACCATACACAAGTTCCAGAAAAGGTTTCTGCTCTGACTGTTTGAGGGATTCGACAACTACTTCTGCTTCTGATTGCTGCCTGTTTGCTTGTGCAATCTCTTTGCATCAGGAGATGGAATATCTGCATCTGGCCTTGCAGGGGCCTTTCTGACATGAGGTGACTTCCAGGTGCTCCCAGGGATGCCCTGTTTCACATTCATGGATGCTGCATTGGTGGTCACAGATCCATTATGGTTGGACTTGGACAAGTATTTGGCCCCAGGTCAATGTCAATTCATGTCTGGCTCACTTGATTCTGACAGAGCCTGCTTAATATACAGCACAAACTTGTTAGCCATAACAGCTGATTCAACATGACCAAACTTGCCTGGTGTGTGAGCTTCAGGGTGGATTTCAGCTTTCCACCTTTTTTTCTGCTCATTGACCCCTCCTCAGTTGTGTGGTCAGTGAAAGGAATGCTCTCCAATCCATCTTCATCTGCATATTCTGAGTGGTCCTGTAGTTCAGTTGTGTACTCATTCCCTGAGTGCAGGTCAGGGCTTGCTGCGAATACAAGTTACAGTGGGAAGCTCACTATTCAGGGATGTTGCCATTTTCTTTGAATTGGATAGAGTGGGCAAATAAGTGTCTTCATCAGCTTCATCATCAGAATCATGGCCATTGCTTTCCTGCCCATTATAGTCAGTTAGTGCTTTATTTTGCAGGCAATGCACCAGGGTCTTTACATGGGCTGGAAGTGCAGAGAGCCGCTCACTATGGGCACCATCAGCTGGTGGGGGATTTGAGCAGGAACAAGAAGGGAATGGTGTCTTGGCACAGTTTTGCCTCCTGCCAGATACCTGAAGACCAGAATTGCATTAGTGCTGATCTGTCATGCATGAAAATCACACATGGCACACCTTTTTAGTGGAGGGACCATCTGTTCCAACATTGCTCACCTCAGCCTTGCTGTGATCATCCAAACTGTCATCCACACTGTCATCCACACTATCATCCATGCTATCATCTGCCACTCCCTCTTCCTGTGCTTTACCCTTGCCCTTGACATTTTTCCTTCCAGCATTCTTTTTGCATTTGGGGGCAGGTGTCTTTCGGTATTTCCACTGCCTCACAACCTGGAGGGGTGCCAAAGTTCTATCCACTGGTGGCTACAGCTTGCCAGATCAATCAATCCATTTCTGAAATCCAATCACATCATTTGGATGGGATTCCTGTTGCTTGCACCAAAAGGACAGCAGCTGGGTAGCTGTTGTTGTGCACATGTGACTTGGGTTGTGGTCAAAGGTAAATCCTTCAGGAAGGTGGCAGGCTGCTATCATTTCTGCTTGATGATGACCAAAATTCTTGAATGGCACTGCTGATGAGGGATTTCCACATGCTAATCCTGATAGCACTCATCAGAGATTGAGGACACTAAATACTCTGGCCACTCACAGTAGTGAGCAGTCACAAATCTGTGAACCATTTTTTGTAGTTGGTCCTGGCTAAGGCCTGCAATTTCTCCTATCCAAATCTCTCCATCGGCATTTTTCACCAATTTCATGGAGTCAACCTTGCTGGTCCTCATTGCTTTGGCTGCTGTCTTTTTCTGAGCACATTCAGGACTTGACTCGCCATCATGCTCAGGCAGTGTTCCTGGTTCCTCAAATGTTTCCCCAAGGTACTCTCACCAGCTTCCTTCCAGTGTGCAGACATCATTGAAGGGGATTCCATCCACAATTTCATTATTGAAGTCCATACTGTCATTGCATGAGTCTTACCTAGGCCTAGAGGAGAACATGGTGGAGGGACTCCATGGAGTATGATGTGGTATGATGTATAATGGTGTATAATAGATGGTTGGTTACTAAGGTTTTTCACGCCCTTGTTTGGTCTCAATGCATTTCAGTACTAGTGTGGTCATGCCAAGGAATTTGTTCAGACCTCTGTGAAGCAACTGAAATATCCAATCAGGCTGATCTCTTTGACAGGATCCTGCCTAAAGGCAGATTAACTCCCAGTTTGCATCTGGGCTGTCAGTTGGCTTGCCCAATCACATCCATACTTATATTGATACCAAACATCTCATTTCACCTTCATCAGCTAATATAGCATCCAAATTCACCATCATAATCCAGGCAAAGTGCCCAGGTAATGTTGCAGCAGGAAGGGAATGTGCAGGCAGGGATTGAGCAGTAATAAGAAGGCAGCACCATGCATTGTGCAAGGCCAGTGTA